TAGATATAGATAATTACAGGTAAGTCGAATGTCTAATGTACATATATTAATCAAAAGCTTAACGATCGTATTAATTCTGTAGTATAAAAATGCATCAGGTTAATCGGATTGAGTTGGGTTCAAACTACCCTAACCCAATTCTAACCATATAGATGCGTTTTATCAGATTTTGTATCAACTATATGTCATGTTACATGAGGTTAAGTTTTTTGGGTTAAATTTTGTATCAACTATGTATCGGGTTACCTCAATTAAAAATACCAACCACCTCCATGAGATTGAAATGAAATTGAATTTCAAATCACACCAAATTCCATCTGATGTTACAAATCAAACAAGACCTTCATTTCAATGTCTCATATCAGGAGAAACAATTAAATATTATTTATCTCTATTAAGGGGGTATTTGGGATTGCTTATAAAAACAACTTATTAATTCATTTCGGTGTGACACAGGTAATAAACACTTTTGAGTGTTTTGATAAACAGTTTATACCGATGTCAAACCGGTAATAAGAAGCTTTTGAAAAAGTTAAATCATTCTAACTTATAATAAGTTGATAAACACTTTTGTAGAAAAAACATAAATTGTTTCAAATAAGCAATCTCAAACACCCCATAAATATAAAGTTTTAGAGATTTTTACAAATTTAAAGATTTTTACACTCTTATCATTTCTCTCTCTGTATATTAGGTATTGTTTGTCAAACATAAGCTACCTTATAAGAACATCTGCAACAATTATCTCCAAAATGGAGAAAACGAGAATTTTAAGTCAATATTTTGATCCAACAGCTTAAAATGGAGAAAATAGAAGAATGACGGATTTTTTCATCAAATATGAAGAACACCTAAAAAATAATTACCAAACGAGACCACCAATAGGAAGTTTTGAAAATAAATATTTAAAGAAAGAGAAATAATATTTTAATATATAATAATTAGTGTTGGATTCTGCAAAATGAATAATCTGATAAGGATGAATATAACTTTTTTGAAAATTTTAATTTTTGGTTCTTCATTTTTTTAAATCTGTTAAAATATACTGTTAAACTAACTTAGAGCATCTAGACATTGTCCTTTTATGCAATTGTAAATAGTCTTTCATTACACATAACATGCTACATGGTTAGAATTGGGTTGTCAAACTTTTACCTGTTACAGTTGCATTTGCAAGCTCTGTATGTATATATGTGGAGATTCAAACGAGAACCCCTGTGATTTACGAAAACGCGAGAACAACTCAATAACCACAAACTTTTTTAATTAATAAATTAACTTTTATTATATATAAATAATTTAATAAGGGCAGTAATGTAATTAAGTAATTTTTATAATTT